AAAAGGAAGCTAATTTTGAAAATTCTTGTGGATTGCGATTGTTCAATTATATACATAACTACAAAGACACGGGTACATATCCCACAAAACGTCTCAAAAATCTCTTACGTAAGTAATTTATCAAATATATATATATATATATAACAATAAATTTGGTTAGCCCATGTTACAATCAAATTTAACCGAATTAGATTCTGTTATCTGATACCACTAATTTTAGTCTTCTTAAATACATGACAAGAAGTAAATAACTAAATTAAAATATACATGTAATTTGTGGGTTTAAAAATAGATTGTAATACAATGACAGTACGTATTAACCCAAATTACTATGTTAGCTAGTCTTTGGTTAATAGAGAATTTGAGTTCAAATAAAAAAATGTATATAAGTATTTTGAAAATAAAATAAAATAGGGGTGATGGAGGAAGACAAGAAAGAGGAATTTGGTGCTTGGTGTTTGTTTGTAAGCATTAAATAATAAAAGGAGAAGAACTAAGAAACATTAAATAAGGAAGAGAATAAATATGGGAAGAAACGACACTTCCTCTCCGACAAAGATTTTGGAAGCGTGTTAGAAAGAAAACTACACCCTATTTGAATCGGAAGGACCAATTTGACTGTGGACCAATTTGATATGGTTCGCATAAGATTGTTTCAACAGTTTAAAACTTCCGGTTACTATCATTTAGTCAGCAAAAATTTTGTAGACTATTTATTTTGAAAAAATAATGTTCTAAGATTCAATGTGAGTATTCTGTTAATATAATTATTAGTTTATGTATAAAAGAGAACTCCAATTGTTGAAACAAATTGAAAAATAGATTTGGTGTAGAAGATGATCAACCATTACATGAAAGATATATCTATAGTTCATTCTTCTATATTCTAATTGGTTATATCATTTATTTAAATCAAGAAACAAACAAAAAAAAATATTTTGAGATGTCTAAAAAAAATATATTAAGATGTCCGGTCTAACTTTAGATTAGTTTTCGATGTTTTATCTTAAGATTTCACGGTTGCAATTTCGTTTTTGTATTCTTTGTGGTCATGTAAATTTAGGATGGTGAATTTTTTTTGCTCGAGATTTAAAATTGTTTTTCTCGATTTTTTCCTTGATGCAACATCAAAATTGAAGTCGATCTCATGGATTTTGTATTAAAAAATAGTCAATTCTGACCATATTTCCGACTAAAATATTGGTTAGAAGAAAAAATCCATCCTTTATTTTTGATAATTTTAGGACGAAAATGAGAATTAATTAGAAAGTGTTCAGAAAATTCTTATTAAAAGCTATGGTTGGAAAGTGATTAAATTTTTTTTAACTATTTTCTAACGAATATAACATATGCCAGGAAATTACTTGGAATATTCTTACGAAATATGCTTGGAAATGGTGGAATTTACAAGTAGAACTACACATAAGTATTTCATCATTAGAGACTTAGTTTATCCAAATCTTACTTTAGATTTTGGTAATAGACCTGTAGTTTTTGATAGGATACAAATGTACTCATTACTTCCATGTGAATTCTAAGATTAAAATTAGCTATACGGCGAATTTATCCAAGTTATATATTAAAATCCTTTATTTAATCTCTACAATTAGAGTAATTTTCATATGTAATAAATTAAATACTCGAGAAGTTAAGAGTGAAAAAGTATACATTAGCCACGGTAAATGATCCCCGTTATATATATGTACTTATACGTATCAAATTGGAAATGTAGATTTTATCTGCTAGATTATTCATGTAGAGTTACTAGAGTAGGCAAGTAAATGAACGCTATAAGTTCTTTATAAGCATCAATTTGTCTAGGTGAAAACTATATATATGTATTGTATATAAATACATATCAGAAGACGTATATTAGTAAATACATTTATAAGTAAAAAATAAAAAATAAATACTATTGTATTGTTTTTTTCTGACTCGTATATTGTAGTAAGTTTTACAAGTATATATGTAAGGATTTCTTGGAAATTGAAATCACTGGGAAACAGAATATTAGGGATCTGAAAATCTGGATTTAAAATTAGGGGAAATTTATCTACATATGCACAATCGTTGCATTGGGAAGCCCACCATTCTCTCTCACTTGGTAAAGTTTTTCTAGATCTAGGGTTTCGTTTTATTGAGCTTCATCTTCGGCGGCGGATCTGCAAAGGAGGATCAGGGGTGAGCAAGCTCTTTCTCCGACAACGGGGTGTGGTTTCTTCCCCTTTCGAGGTAGTTGTGGCACCGGTTGGGATGGTTGAGAAGCTCTGGAGCTGTGGCTTTCCGGTTGAGGACGCTGGAAGGTTTGCCTGGAAGTCTTCTCGCGGCTCTGCCATCTTCACGGTCGCTGCGGCTACGGCGGAACTCGGAGGGGTTTAGGTGGGAAGCGTTGTTTCGTCTGGTGGTTAGCTGCAGATCTCTGATCTTAGAGGGCTATCGCAGATTCCGGAGTCAGGGTGTTCGTCTGAGCCATCGACCCTTGAATCCGCTGCGGTTTCGCATCCACCGGACCGGATCGAAAGTTATGTGCTCTGGAGGTTTGAAGGTGTTCGGATCTGGAGCGGAGGGGTTTGGTCCCAGTGCGACATATTGCTTGGTCAGGATATGTCGACGTAGAGCTGGTGTGTCGGAGAGTCGAGTTTTCTGGGAGGTTTGTAGCGGGATTGGCGAGTAGACGGTGAGGTGCATCGTCGGAAATTGGTTTCTTCCAACGGCGTTTTCAATCCTTCTTCTCTGCCTCAAAGCCGTGGACCTTGAAACCACTGGATCTAAGGCGACTGACTCTCTGCCACCGGTAACCAACAAGATCCGAGCTTCCGTTTTAGATTCCGGTGACACTTTCCGATTTCCTTTTTGTACCTGGTACCAAGTTTGTAAGGCCCAAGGCCCAGCCCATTAGGATTTTTTTTAAATAAAATATTATATTAAAAAAAAAAAAAAAAAAAAAAAAAAAAAAAAAAAAAAGAATATTAGGGATCTCCAAACCCTAGGACATTGATTCCTTCGAGATTACTGGTCTTCTTCCTTGTAGGCAAAAAAAAGATGTTTCATGTTTGGACAAAAAAGGGACTCGTTCGGTTCATGTTAGAAGTTAATTAAATCAAGTTCTACTTGTATGCGTCATATGACACAATGCCCTCGTCATCTTGTGCGTGACTGTGTGAGTGCGAACTTTTTTTTTTTTCGTTACAATTTTTTACAACCAATTCTTAAAAAACATTTTCCCTTGATTAATCTAGTGGTGCATATTTATAGCCACATTTTAATATGCCAGCTTTTTCTTTGCCCCACTCTAACAGAGTGAAATAAAGAACGAACAATTGTTTATATAATATATAAACACTATGTTTAGTATATTGTTTTGTTATAAGAGAATGAACATTTTATACGAAAAATCCACAGTGACTTTATTCCACGATGAAATGATATCAAGACATACATGTTCTTACCTTTACCTTTCAACGAAAATCAGAGGAAAAAAAATAGTAATTACTTATAGAAAAATGTTTTTTTATAATAATTATTATATGGAAAAAAGTACATCTGATGTAATAAAGTCGCATACCGACTTTGTGACTCGTTTTTATGTATTTGATTAGTTAAGTACAGAGTTCGTTAGATGTATTTGCATTGTTACAATTACAGAAAACCCTACGCAACACAATTCAGTACTTTTTACGTCAGCAAAAATAGAATCTTTCGTTGAAAAAAATACAAGAATCTTTTTTGTCTTAATTTTCTTACCTTTTTCTAATTGGATATGAATTTTTATTATGGAAGATAAATACGACACCATGCACGATTTTCACACTCATCGGCAATCGACTAAACCATTAACCATTATATCTGAGAATTGATTATATGTAAACATAGATATTGGTTACACAATCCTGACTATCAGACTATGCCACATACTGTATTTATTCGTTAAAACTTATATCAAATTTTAAAATACTGCAGTTACTAATTACATTATTAAAAAAATATGCAATTATTATTATATTCTATAAAATATTATAGTTTTATTTCAATTTTTAATTATTATTGGAATCATTTATAAATTATATTACTTAGTGTTCTTTAAAAAGTCCATACTACCTAATTAAAGTACTTATTTAAAAAAATCTAAAAGTACGAAAATTATTACTAAAAAAACAAATAGCTACATGATTTTAAAAGTATATGTGACATCTAATACAACGACGGGGTCGTGTTTTATTGAAAATTTTGTTATCAAAGTGAAAGTTTACATGTCACTTTTAATTTCGTATACAATGAGTAAATAAGCAAAAAAAATGTTAGCTCGGCTAGTACCTACAAACTAAAACCCTAGTATTTGGCCCAGGATATAATCATTGCCAGTTTAGAACTAATTAGCCAACCTAAACCGTTAGATCAAAGAAGCAATCTTACTAATCAAATTATAAAAAAAAAACAACAAGTTTCAAGAACGAAAAAAAGGATAATTAATTTACATTAGATCAAAAGGCGAATGCATAGATCATAGATGCACTTGTGAGTTGTGATATACCCAAAACTATATTTAATTATATAATATATATTCGAAAATTTTATACACCGTATATAAAATATTCGAATAATCCTTTTCCTTGATTTAAAAATATTTTCAGCTTGTTTTTCTCAACTCATGTATTAATTTAAATAATAAAAGTAGCTACCACCTTTCTCTGCCCCACTTTAAGATAAAGCTAAAGCATGGAAAAAAGCATGGGAAAAAAGTAAATATATGATATGAAATTAAATAAATCTAAAACAAAAAAAAAGAGAGAAATTAAAGGAACGAAAAAAAGAGAGAGGAAAAAGACAAAATTTAAAAACAAAACAAAAAAAGAATTCCAAAGAAATTAACATCACATGTTATCAAATGAGATCAAAATTTAAGTTAGTTTTGAGTTTTCTCTCTCTTTCTCTTCTCTAAAAGTACTTAAGCTAAAGAATCAAACACTTCTCAACGTTTCTCCAAAGCCTCTGATTAGTAAACACATAAAGAGAGAGAGAGAGAGAGTAGAGAGAAAAGGTGATGAATAGAGGTGTGTTGGAGAGTTCGCCGGTTCAACAGCTGATGGCAGCCGGAAACCCTAACTGGTGGAACGTAAGCGGCGGCATGAGGCCACCCCCACCGTTGATGGGTCATCAGCAGGCGCCGTTGCCGCCACATATGACTCCTAACAACAACTATCTCCGACCACGGATGATGCCCACTCCCCTGCCGCACTTCTTGCCATCTCCGGCGACTTCGTCTTCCTCTTCTTCTTCACCATCTTTGCCTAATAACCCTAATCTCTCTTCTTGGCTTGAAAGCAATGATCTCCCTCCTGAGTCTTGGAGCCTTAGCCAACTTCTTTTGTAACTATCCCTCTCTCTCTCTCTCTCTCTCTCTCCCTCCATAAATATTCCAAAATGAAATATTCTCTACGCACATGACATGATCTTGTGTTTACCTGACTAGTTCACTCTTTGTTTTCTCGTGTGTTGCTACCTAATCTTGATTACTTCTTTGTTATGACATATATACGTATGTATACACATGTGTGTATATGTATTTTAAGTATCAAATAAACAATCTAATATTTTTGGATATTTTCTTTGTGGACTTAGGGGTGGATTGATGATGGGAGAGGAAGAGAGATTGGAGATGATGAACCATCATAATCATCATGATGAACAACAACACCATAGTTTTCAAGGGAAGATGCGATTGGAGAATTGGGAAGAACAAGTGTTAAGCCACCAACAAGCTTCCATGGTTGCTGCTGACATCAAACAAGAGAGTAACATTAACAACAACAATGGCTATGTCATATCTTCTCCGAACTCACCTCCTAACAAATCTTGTGTTACAACAACAACCACAACAAGCCTCAATAGTAACGACGATAACATCAACAACAATAATAATATGTTGGATTTCTCCAGCAATCACAATGGTCTTCACTTGTCAGAAGGGAGACACACTCCTCCGGATCGATCCTCTGAGGTAACACTTCTTCCACATCTCAGAGATTTTGATAATATAAGGAAATAATATCTTGTTTACATATAAATTAGTAAACACATCAGCTACTATGAAAAAATGAAATCTAAAACGTGATTTCAAAAGAATAGGACAACAAGTCTTATTTTAAGGTTTGGATCTAAATTCAATACGCAACCAGGATAAGTTTTGCTATGAATTTTTTTGATTAATGACTAATTGATCTTTGTTTTGTTTGTTATCTATATATGTGATGAAGTGTAACAGCTTAGAGATTGGTGGGTCTACTAATAAGAAGCCAAGGCTCCAACCTTCTCCTTCGTCACAATCAACCCTCAAGGTAACTAATTGATTATATCAACGAAACTTTAGATAACTTATATAACGTTTTCTGTATATAAATTCTCTCCCTGACATCATAATAACAAAACAAAAACACAAACACAAAGGAGAACAGAAGAAGCAAACAAAACAGAATGGGCACAGAATAAGCTGTGTGGTTTTGTGTTTTGTAACTCTTTTGTTCTCTCTTGTTTTGTCTTTTTCTTCCTTCTTCATTATTCCTTTCCTCTCTTCTTTCATAAAAATCAAACTTAAATATATCTCAACATTCTCCTTAGAATTAGATACTATATATATTAAATTTATACTTTGGATTCTAATATAATGATAATTTTATATACTAGTGAAAGTAAAATATTATTAATCACTTCTACTTACTAAGTAAGCACGTTTTCTGTATGCATGGTAATTAGTAAAAAAATATAACCACACATGCACATATATAGAAAGCTTTTAATTGATGCTATTAATTAATCTATGGTGATAAGTTTTTTTGAATGAAATCTATGGTGATAATTAAAGGTGAGAAAGGAGAAACTAGGAGGCCGAATCGCAGCGCTTCATCAGCTAGTATCTCCATTTGGAAAGGTAAAGATCGATTTGATTAACAAATCACATTTATTAATGTCGTCTAATATTCCTTTATCAAATCAACTTTTAACATTAATTTTGTAGATATTTTTAGTTTCATTCTTGTTAATCTAAATCATTCTTCATCCCTTTTTACCCATCTTTTGCAGACTGACACAGCATCTGTCCTGTCGGAAGCTATTGGATACATTAGATTCCTTCAGAGTCAAATTGAGGTGTGACTCGTCTTTTCCAAACTCTAAATATTCTCAATTTCCTTTAAGTAAAATAAAAATAATGCTTAAAAAGTTAAACTTCTAGAAAATTAAAATGTGTCAGAGGATTCCAAGTGATTACTGAGAAATAAATTATAATGATGATATTATAAGAGAATGAATAAAGATAGTATAAAGTTTTGTTCTCTCCATGTTAAGTAACATTTGATTGATGTGATTATATATAAAGTATTTATGTTTTTTTTGCAACTATTGCATTGTTGCAGGCTCTGAGTCATCCATACTTTGGTACGACTGCCTCGGGGAATATGAGGCACCAACAACATGTAAGCACCAAATTTTCGTATATCTAGTTATACTGATATACACAAACACATCATCATGCTATAGTTTATACCTTTAACTTCTTCTTTTTTGATAACCTACACGAAATTTTTTTATACTTATATATACTAAATTATCTCTTAACTATGGTTTTTTTATGAATAGTTGCAAGGAGATAGGAGTTGCATATTTCCTGAGGACCCTGGCCAGGTGCGTCCATTTTTTCTTGGTCATTGTACTTTATATATAATTAGGGTCACTATACTTTTTATTGGATCAATTGAATCCAAATCTAAAAAATGTGGACAGCTTTAGTTTCCAAAATTTATCCTTTTTTTTTTTTTTTTTTTTTGCTTTTCTACTGTTTTCTTTAAAGTAAAGTTGAATTAATATTAAAAGATGCAGCGGCCAGCTTTTTTTTCACCCTCCCTTACATTATTATATACTAGCAAAGTTCGTTAATACCAACAAAGCACTAAATTTATTAAAATATCAACTTTTTCTCCTCACTTGTTTTCTTCATCTAAGTGCATTTCAAGTTGTTTTGGCGGGCTTTTATTTTCTCTAGCGAAAATTCAATGAAATATCTATTTTCAGCCAAAGTATCACATGAATCTCAATTTTAAAAGTATATTTTATGTGTCTTTCTGTCTCATAGTGAATGTTGTTTCATATTTTTTCAAATTATATTGGATTTGTCTAATAATTGTATTCTTAATAATATATTAACATTACCTCACTGCACTTTTCAACATAATACGCTATACTATTTAATAAAGCTAAAAAAAATAAAACTGTAAACACATGTAATTAAGGATTTAGACGATATTGTTTTGTAAAGTGGAAGAAGGGTGGCATAACATTATTAATCACCTCTTTATATAGGTTTTAGAACATGTGTTTAGTATTTACTTTGTTGTTAATCTATGCTATATAAATCATAATTGATTTTTTTAATTCTTGATATGGTTTTAGCTCGTGAATGATCAGTGCATGAAGAGAAGAGGAGCTTCGTCGTCATCATCTACGGACAATCAAAATGCAAGTGAAGAGCCTAAGAAAGATCTGAGAAGTCGAGGTTTATGTCTTGTCCCAATCTCATGCACACTCCAAGTAGGCAGCGACAACGGCGCCGACTATTGGGCTCCAGCACTCGGCTCCGCCGGTTTCCATTGAGCCAATGAAATTACGCCACGTGAAATTCCAACGTTAGAAAAAAATGATATAACATCACGAGCAGTCAGTCTACTGAGAAAACAACAAATTGAGTTTCCAAGGCTGATTGCTCATGATGCTATACAAAGTACTTCGTTTAAAACTTTGCTAGAGAATTTGCGTTTGGCGTTTCATCATTTGATGCGTTATCAGATGATATGACCAAGTGATATCAATTTATGTTCTTGCTTTAGGAAACTGTTTGTTTTCTTCTACCGGTTAATTGTAATTTGTGGTTAAGTACTTATTTTGATTACTTCCACGTGGTTTGTATTGTTATAATTTTGCTATTACTTTATAATATGTCTATTGTGTGGGATAATATCAGGCCCGTCTCTGCCCATAGGCAACATGGGCTTTTGCCATGGGTCCAAATCCAATTTCAAATTTTTCTTCAAGTAAAAAAGGTCCAATTTTTTAAAAAAATTATTTTTAGTAAGAATTTTTTATTTTTTTTTGGTTTTGATAAGGGCCCTCAAATTAATTAAGACGGTACTGGATAATATACGGGGAAAAAAATTAATGTCCCGGAATATATTAAGAAAATATCGATGCGTAGTTCTTAATTCATGTAAAAGATCATTAACAATGAAAACCTGAATAGAAGAAAAGCACTAAAGAGAGCGAAAAATTTCAGAAATTATGAATTATATTGTACTTCACTTCACCATGGGTGAACTAGAGGAGGATCACTAACAAAGAGGAAAATAAGAAACAAGATATCATCACTTTTGATAATTTAATTTAAACTATTCACTTCTTCTCTTTGGTGTGAAGATCATCAAAGAACTTCTTAGGGTTGCTCTCAAAAGCATCCCTCGAAATGTGTTGACCTCCAGCAGATCCTGGTATACTTTTATACAAAAAAAATTATCTGATAGTAATTTGTGACAACATGGTCAAAGTGACATGGAATGTAATTACCGGCCGATGTTATCTCTATTTTCATGAAAATTGGTGATAATTTTCTCGTAAAGTAAAAAAGCCCAATACAACAGATTCGGGCCTTCGCTTAAGCCCGACCAAATTATCTTTGTCCAATCATCGCTTGGCTCACTGGTTTGATCATAACACGCACTTTTTTATACGCCGGTACAGTTTTGCAATGTCAAATTAAACTGTATTTACTTGCGCAAATTCTGTATAAATTATTAAATTATGAAAAAAATATTTTAATTGCAAAATATATATTTTAGTTGTTTGTATTTTAGTTTGAATTGTCAAATAAAAACACGCGAAATAAATTTCCATTCTAATTTGAAACAAAGTATGTCGAACTGAACAAATCAAAAAGACAAATCCAACTGAAAAACCAAAACATCCATACCAAAAAAAAAAAAACATATGATTAATATACCTTATCTTTTGCAGTGGATAATATTATTGAGGGACATAATATAGTGGATTAAGGGATTTATCCATAACACCGGCCGATCCAACAACAAATTATTATATTGATCAAATAAATAACGTTGTTATGTCCAAAAATGACAAAATGAAAAATCCATTACTTCACAGAAGCTTTCCACCCAAAAAAGCAGACCATCAATAAAAGAGGAAAAAAGTAGAGAACTCGACGTTTATTAAATACTAAAATGTTGATGGGAAAAAACACTACTGTATTTCAGTTTTTATATATATATTTTTTGATAAGAAGTATATATATATATATATAGCTTATGGAATTCCCATATTAATTCCTTAGTAAATTGAGATACAGGTGGCTATAATCATTTGCTTAGATGCCTTCACGTCTAAGCTCTCAAGGTTTATGGTCCATTTCAAAAGCTCCTTTACGAAAACTCCAAAAATGAAACATTATTAAAAACTAATTAATAACAACATATAAACTTTCAAGTAAATTTAGAAAAATAAAGTACTAATTTTCATTTTTCAAAACGAGAATAGGGAGATTAAATTAGAAGTTTATATATTTAGCCTTATTGATGAGATTAGATGATCTATATACTGTGGGAATATGGTTTTGTGAAGGAAATGGAAATGGTGTGTCGTTTTCGCCAATAATTAGTTTTATAGTTGAAAACTGCATGCATGTCGCTTCCACGTATTCTTCCTCCATCCCGACGTACACGTGCTGTCGTTTTCGATTCAGTTTTGTGGCTACTGGCAACTCGGGTATATAGTTGGACTACATAAGCAAAATTCATGTGTCTACTCTTAACACAAATTTTGAACTGCTGTTAATTACATATCTTCTCTTGTAGACACTCCTTCAAAATTTTCTTTAAAATATAATTCCGAAAAAAATATTTGGACCACAAACTGAAAATTCTTATGGATTTGTAATTGATCAAAACGTTAATAAAGGATCAGAAAATTAGAAATAGACTCAAAGACCTTTTGGTTAGAGCTTGTGGTTATTAGTGTAGATTCCATTTGAAAGTATAAATGTTATTTACAATTATTTAATTGTGAGGGGTCCATTTGTGAAGTAACACGTATAAGAAATTTCTAAAGACAACAAAGTAAATGTTAATCGCCACGTACGAAGATGACATTTCCTTTAATTTGTTGGATCTCCTTAGTGGCTACGGCAACGGTCTAAATTTGCTATCAACTTTGAAGACATGACTCAACTAATATAATCCTATTAATTTTATAGAAAACTTTCGAGAACATATACAGTTAGGGACAATCTAATCATAGTTAATGTTGCATTTGATTTGATTTGGACGTGATACTCTAAGCGCAATATCTTTAAAATGTGTGATATTTTAAATTGAAAAAATATCAGTGTAGGTTTTCATTTTCTGAATCTATATACAATATATAAAATGGTAAACGTAGATACGAAGAAAAACATCAAGTCCAGGTGATATATATATATTTTTTGATATAAATTTCAAACATTACCTTACCACTTTAGAGGTAATATAACTTTAACTAAAATCCTTAATAAAAAAATATTTCCTTATATTATTTTGTTGTAAGCAAAACTCAACTGGCTTACAATCCCCATAGACCAGCCTACCAAAATCGGTACTCATGACAAGCTCACGAATGATATTATTATTTGGTTTACTTAATGCATACTCTATGATTATTATCATTTTCTACTATTACTATATCACTCACTTTTGAATCATCCTAACCACCATAGCTACAATTCGGTTGCTTACTTTAGAGTTAAAGCTCCTTTTACTCTAAATTTCGTATCCATCATCTAACGGTTAGATCTGTACGTGTTTTGATTTGTGGATATCTTGATTCTAATATAAAAAATGAAAAATAAAGAAATAAAGCAATTAAATCATTATACAGAGAAGACTTCTTTTTTGGCGACTACTCTAACCTCTTAATAAGAAAGAAATATCTTCTTTTTTAAAAGTTGTGGTTTTAGGTTATTTCTCATTCTTATTATTTAATTATGCAATATCCTTTTACATATTTATTATATTATTTTTTCTTATCCTTTAAATACCCTCTACTTCCTCCCTCCAATGACAATATCATATCTATCATATCTTACAAGAGTGAGACAAGCAAAAGAAGAAGAACAAAAAAATTATTCTCTCCAAAGAAAATAGTAAAGATGGAATCTTCTGTACCAAAGAGAGGCTTATACATGGAAATGGAACAAAACGCTCAAGTCGCAGCCAAGAGGCTTTGGAAAATCGTCCGCATAGTCTTCTGTGTTTTAAAAACCGGTACAGTCAAAAGCAAGCTCATGCTTGACTTAAACCTAATGCTTAAGAGAGGTAACAAAGCCATCACTAACCTCCGCCGACGATCAAGCCCCACCGGCGGTTCTGACGTCAGCTCCACACGCGTCCGTGACTACGACCCTTTTGCCTTTATGTCCAAACGCAAACGCCGCGTCCATGGCGGTTATGACAACGAAGAAGATGCGGTGGAGGCAGCGGTTAAGAAAGTTTTTGAGTTAATAGGAGAGAATGATAGGAAGACGGTGGCGGCAGAATCGGCCAGAGAGTCGCCGCTGATAATGTCTCCGGCAGTGAGACAGCTTAGGGTGACGGATTCGCCGTTCCCGTTAGACGACGGCGGAGATCATGATCATGTGGTGGATAAAGCCGCAGAGGAGTTTATAAAGAAGTTTTATAAGAACCTTAAGCTGCAAAAGAAGATGGCTAACACGCTAGAGTCGCCGAACCACGATGGATGGGTTAGATGATCCAAGCGTTTAGAGACCAACGCAATTTGTTCACTTTGTGGGGGTTGGATTGCAAAAGAAAAACATAAGGGGAAAATTGAGAATACATGTATAAATGTTGGGGTTGGAACGGTGATTTACAAGTTTTCTTAGATATATTTCCATTTGAGTGTTGAATACTTAAATTTGGCTTGTGTTTCTTTCGTCGGTAGTTTGATGTAAACATGGCTATGTATATATTTTCCTATCTTAATGAGAAGAATACTATATACACACACTAGGTAGATTTATCAAATACACAGGTAACATCATATTTAAATCGGAATATTTAAAAAAACAGAAATAAGATTAATTGATATGTTAGTAGACGCACACTCAAGGATTCTATTTAAGAGAAACTTAGAGTAGAGAAATGAATAAGATAAAATGTCGCTCTCAAGTTGTTCATCGACCAACCATAACGTTTCGGGCAATTTAATTTATATCATATATATATGGAGAATTGCAGGCTAAGGCCATTATTCAAGTATACGTCTTCCTCAAGTATTTAAACACGCACAACGTCTTTACTCATACATCAAAAAACGACGTCATTTTGGAATGTAGTCTAAATTATTTTGGCGATTCATAATATGAACTATTTTGTCAAAGTGTTTCCACTACGATTCGACCATTCGAGTAATTTTGTTATTCCGATATTTATTTGACATACTAGTCAAGGCATGCTATTGTTGTTAACACAAACACCAAAACTTTTTGGGCTTCACCTTCACAACAGTCGGCTTTACCTTCGCAACCACAGTCTTCACCGCCAATCGCTCTTTCTCCGGAGGCTCTTCTACCGAATCACCAACGACCACTTCAGAGCGAGTTGGTTCTAGGGATTGTTCCACTTCCACTGCTTTGGATGATATACATATATAAATATACAACATCAACAAGCATTGGATATCTTATAAAATATAGAAAAGTTGTTGAAACCATAGATCATGATAAAGATGATAGAGAAATAAATATTCTTACAATGTTGAGGTTGTGTTTTAGGACAATTTTCAAAAACCCACAAATATCTCAAGACGATGGAGACAGAGAGAACAACTACGATGAACCATATACTCAAATCCCAAACCAAATACTGGCTCAAATCCCAAACCAAATACTGGCTCAAATTCCAAACCCAATCCATTTCTTTAGTTTTCTTCTAAACTTTCTCAAAACAAAAAGTTTATAAAACATTTATCATTTACTCATGCTTACCTTGTTAAATGCCATTGATTGTCTTCTTCACCACATGCACGCTTTAGCCTAATAAACCAAGTTTAACCGAACCAAATCAATTAGTATCACAAAACGACGTCGTTAAATAACTTTGACGAAAAACACCTCAGAAGAAACTCAAAATTACGATGTTATACCACTTAACCTTCGATAACTACTAGAATCAATCAATCACCACAGAAACTCAATGCCACTACTCCTCCGTCGATTTCTCTCTCCCTCCGTCGTCTCCTCCTTCTTCCTCCGTCGCTCAATGGCTTCCTCATCAATCTCCTCTGATCCCATCACTCCATCAAACACCAAAATCGGATGGATCGGAACCGGAGTCATGGGCCGATCAATGTGTGGACACTTAATCAAAGCCGGTTACACCGTCACCGTCTTCAATCGAACCATCTCCAAAGCTCAAACTCTTCTCGACATGGGAGCAAACCTCGCTGACTCACCAACCTCAGTCGCTGCACAATCCGACGTCGTTTTCACCATCGTTGGTTATCCTTCCGATGTCCGTCACGTCCTTCTCGATCCAAAGTCCGGAGCTTTATCTGGTCTCCGTCAAGGAGGTGTTCTCGTTGATATGACTACTTCAGAGCCTTCTTTAGCTGAGGAGATAGCTAAAGCTGCTTCCTTTAAGAATTGTTTCTCAATAGACGCTCCGGTCTCAGGTGGTGATTTAGGAGCTAAGAATGGGAAGTTATCTATATTCGCCGGAGGAGATGAAACCACCGTGAAACGTTTAGATCCTTTGTTTTCGTTAATGGGTAAAGTCAACTTCATGGGAACAAGTGGGAAAGGTCAATTTGCGAAATTAGCTAATCAGATTACAATTGCTTCGACTATGTTAGGACTTGTGGAAGGTTTGATTTATGCTCATAAAGCTGGACTTGATGTTAAGAAGTTTCTTGAAGCGATTTCTACTGGTGCTGCTGGTTCTAAGTCTATAGATTTGTATGGAGATAGGATTCTGAAGAGGGATTTTGATCCAGGGTTTTATGTGAATCATTTTGTGAAAGATTTAGGGATTTGTTTGAATGAATGTCAGAGGATGGGATTGGCTTTACCTGGTTTAGCTCTTGCTCAACAGCTTTACTTGTCTCTTAAGGCACATGGTGAAGGTGATCTTGGTACTCAAGCTCTTATCTTGGCTCTTGAGCGTCTCAACAATGTCTCTGTTCAACCATCTGTCTCTTGATTTAGGTTCTTGCACTTTCTGTTATGTGTGTGTTTGAGATTTTATGTTGTTCTGGAGAAAATATTTGATCTTTTGTGTACCCATTTGTTGCTAGAACATGAAATAAGAAGTAAACTTTTGTGTACACATATGAAATTTCACTGAGATCTGGAAAATCTAGGTCGTAGATTCATACACAGTAGTGTGTTCTGTGCTCAATGTTGAGGAAAAATGAAATCTTTATATACTCAGACTCGAGTGAAGTGAGCTTTGAATTTTTATAGTTTTTACAACATATCTGGTTATAAAATCCCAGAATCTGAAGAACTGAGTCTTTTATTTTTGAAGAGCATGAAAACAAATATTTCTCCCAAGGAAACTTATTTGCTACAAGAAAGTCTTGGGGAAGAGGAAAAACATAGAATGCTTTTCTTTTATGACGCCTGAGACCTTCGCTTAGGCGTTTTCTGATGGCGAAAAGCTTCATTAAATTACCGAAAAATGGCGCTTGTTGGGAAGGTTTTAAGAGTCTTCAAGGTACAGAGAGTGAGAAGCTGCAAGAAGCGCAGCTCCAATGCCTGATCCATCATTGGAGTGAGTGACTTCAATGCTTCCTGAAGCTTCGTCTCCAAGCAACTCTTTTAGTGAGCTCTCCATACACTCACTAAACTGAGTGTAATGCTCAAACAATCCACCATCCATGGCTATAACCGATTTCTGCATCTCCTCGTCTTTGGTCGTATCTCTTCCCAGTTTCTTCAGGATACCATAGATTCCAGCAGCAGAGAGACGAGCGCCTCGGGTTGCTATGATGTTGCAGAGACTGATCACAACTTTTCTCATTTTCAGAGAAGTTGTAGGGACCTCCAATATATCCTTAATCTTGCTCCCAACAATCTTCAAGTCTGGAGAAGTGTCGTTGTGCATAGCCGACATGTGAGGGGTCCTGCAAATGATTGAACTTTAGACAAACTCATTCCGAAAACAATGAAACTTTAGATTAACCGATTCGCATAAGTTGGAACTTTAGACAAACTCATTCCACAAAAGATGAAACTTTAGATTAACCGATTCGCATAAGTTGAAACTTTAGATAAACCCATTCCTCGAAGGATGACACTTCGGATACAAACTGCTCAAAAACGTAAAGTAGTAAAGAGTACCTAATGATGAATGGTATTCTCAGCTTAGATGGGACGGTATCGCCAAAGAAAGCAGCATCTTCAGCCATCTTTAGAAGAACTCTTCGCAAAATCTCTCCCAAGTACATACCGGAAATGATTTTCTCAAGAATCTAGAAAACGACAAATCCACATAGAATCTCATTTCTCGTGACAGCTCGTAGGTATTGCAATTTGTAACAACAACCCAGAGTTTAAAAACTCGTACCTGCTCGCCTGGATTCAGACTCTCGAAATCCAGCGAGTGATCAAACTCTGTTAATGGGAGATGTGATGACCTGAAGTTTCCCCATTCCATGTTTATAACCATTTCTCCTGAGTTTGGAAGCGGACCATGCCATTTGGGGATCGCCGTTGCACGCTCAACATAGGCTGCGTTTGTCCCAGTGCCTAAAATAACAGCAGCAACAACATCCTGGTTATAGTATCTACCACCGGCTAGAGTTCCAACGGTATCATTAACCTGTAAACCATCAAAAACAAATCAACAAACTTATGACAGAACGATTTAAAAGAGAGCATACGAAGATTAATAACTCACAAGTGCTGCGATTCGCATGTCAAGCCCAACTCTTTCCATAGCCTTATTAAGTGCTCCAACAACATCTTGTCCAACCTATGCAACAGGTTAAACAAAGATCAGAGTAAAGGCGAAAACAATCATTTCTAAGAGAAATAGTTAAAAGGGAATCGAGCTTAACTGCTTCTTCAATGGAAAAGCCTTTTGTCCATTTGATGAGACTACCAGAGTCTAAAGAAGTCTGCTTAACCGGAAACGAGAAAGTGAAACCTAATTCCCTCTGTCTACCTTCCGGGAGATGAAAGTCGTCGCATTCTGTGGCGACAAACTTTGCAAGAGCTTCAGCGATAAAATTGAACAACTCCTGAATCCATCATAAGAACACAGAAGAATCTTGTTACACATAGATCATCTAAGACTAACATGACATTTTTTAAAAACAGACTTAAAACAGAAACTGACATCTGAACCACCAGTCATCAAATGGGGAGGAATCGAAACTTCTTCGAATTCTTGTTTAACAACACGCTCTTGCTTCCCGCCAAGAAGCACACGCATGACACGGAAGTTTGTTCCACCTAGGTCCAATGCATAAAAGAGACCCTTTTCATCCCTGTTTATATCAATGGTAGTAAATGTTAGATAGATTCTCTTGACCTACAACATGAAACTTGACGCATCGACTAACAAGATTAAAGCGAAGATGAATGTCACATATGAAAATGCCTTCTCGAAATGTGACACAATCAATCTCATTAATGTTCCAAAGGTAGACCTTTTTCAGAGTTTTGTGAAGACTAATCTTATCAGACAGTCCATAAGACAACAAAAGTGATGTTTGTGGACAGACTTTTCAGACAAATCATATCCACATCACTGAAATTTTTGGCCTTAATCTAACTATGAACAAAACGTCAAATAAATAAAACTAAAATCACAAATCCATGAAAACAAAACAACAAAACCAAGCTTCGTATGAGTGATACAACAAAACTTATAAGTAAATGAGATTCAGTGGGACATGATCTGGATTCCAAAAGATTCACTGATACTGAAACAGTAGATCCATAATCCTATCTAATCGATCAATTTTGACCACAAACGATACAAAACAGACAACAGAAACCATTAAGAGACAATGCAATTGAATCTCAAAATCAGCAAGACTAAAAATTTCAATGAAAAGGCATCAGAATTAAAAATCAACAATCCAATTAGAAAATTTACCCAGAAGGAAGATTATCAACGTAGCTGATAAGCATTTTGAGTTTGCTACCACCGTCGGAGGCAAGACCAGCATGCATCTCAACGGTCATAGCATCAGCCACTTGTCTCAGTTTGGAGATCGGAGTCGCACAATCCTCTTCAAAAGCCTTAAGGATGGCCAAAACACGTCCCCACTTCCCTGAGCTCTGCATCCGTCGTCGAACAACCAAAACAGCCACCGCACAAACAGCCGCCGTGCAAACAACAGTCGCTCCAACAGCTACTTTGCCCATTTTCTCCGATTTGGAATCAAAACAAACGAATCTAAAAAAAAAAGATCGGATTTTTACGATTCCGATCGCAAAAGTAACGATTACAAATGACTAAAATTGGAAACCCAGAAAGAAGAAAGAATCAAAATTTCGAGTGAATTGAGGAAATTAGAGGAACCTAAGATGGATCTAATACCGATCTACTCGAGCGAGCTTGGTGGGTTCGTCAAAAAACAGTGTAGAAACCACGTAAGCGGGCTTCTCTCGTTCTTGTCCGTAAAGTATGGAAAACAAAACAAGGAAGTGGTAATAGAATTTTTGTTGGAATGACGAAATTAACCTTTTAGTCTAATTTGGTTTTTATCCTTTTCTCCACCTAAGTTTCTGGTAGAACCAATCATTCTCAAACCTAATCAACCACAAGATAATTGCACATTCTTTTCTTTTTTTGTCCTTTTAATTGTTATCTCTGATTATTCTTAATTAAGCAACGACACCTTTTAATTTGCTATACTTTTATACAAAAAGTTTGCTTCAATGGAAGAACATGGTTCATAATCCTCATTCGTATTGTTGTGTCTCAAATCTAAGACCTTAGCTTTCTTCTTTCAAAAGATTATAAATGCTCAATCATAAGAGGTAATGGCTCCAAATAAAATAGATAAACAATGCTTTTATCAATAGATAACTAAAGCCGATAAAAATTTACAGACAGATATGATGTGGATTATCCACTTTTTTTTTTGATAAAATGGATTATCGATTTGACAGATAAATATTCAAGTATGTTATTATCCGGAATTTCGAATTCAAATGTGTGAAAAAAAAAAAAAAAAAAAAAACCACTATATCGATTTGACAAGGAAACAAATAGTTTGGTCTCAGATAGGCGACTTTTTTTGTTTGGGCCGGTTCATAATGTTACCCTATTGTAACACTAAGGCCTGACTTAAAGTCTCCAAAGTTAGTCCATTCACTCAAATAGAAACTAATGGACCTTATAAGTATAATCTATGCAAGGCCCATTATTAATATAGATTTACAACTAATTTGCTATGAAAAAGGCCAGTCAGTATTATTAATAGGTTTACGCTACATACATGTTGATAATGCTAGTATTAAATTATGTTCTTAGAGATCTTAAATTTTGATTTTTTAATAAAATCTTCTTCAAATGGAATTATAAGGTTTTTTTTTGGACAAAAAAGAAATAAACTAGTATCATATTCTATGTCCGTGTGGGAACCAACAATTTCAGCATCATTAGATTCTCCATTATCTTAAAAAAAAAAATGTAATTTATCTCTAAATTTGTAAATTATGCTGTTATAATATTTTGCAATAATGCCTTAGTAGTTAGTACATCAAATAACAATTTTTTTCTTTACAAGTCAACTCTCAATTGTAATTAGGAATATTATTTATTTTAGTTGATGTTATTATGACTAACAGTATTTGTCAGATTTTAAGAAATATAGCTGATAGTTAATTACTTGATCTCAACTGATTAGTGGTCCCAATCCAGTTGACCAATGTTGTTTTGATTTGATTAACCTTTGATTAAGAAGAACACTGAATAAATTTAGATACTCTAGATATCATATAAAATTATTTTATTTATATACAATTAAAAAGCATGTATCATTACATAAAATAAAGGGTATTTATTACCCCCACAGGTTTGCTTTTGACCAAAATCTTAAGTGGGCAAACGAAATAATAGTAACACATGTCTCTGATTATTACCTCATGTTCGATATTTAACGACATCATTAAAATGCATTTTCCGACAGTAAAAAGAATGACAGAGAATTAACCATCGTATTTGTTTTTCCGTTAAGAAACCAATCCAAATAAACAAAAGTGAAAAAGTAAACCGAACAAATTATACATAGTAAAATATTAGAGAAACTAAATTAATTTAGTATGTTTCAATTTTGTTCTAGTATTTCTAAACTAGAAAAAGGAACTGTAGAAAGCCGGATGAAACTGGAACCAAATTAAAAACCAGAATAGACTATTACCATCTCTAATCCATCTCCATATTCAATTTCAATATAAAGTTTGAAGTAAACAATGCCTAAAATAAAATTATTCTATTTTGAAACAAAATTAAAGGAGATGCTCTTAAAATTGTGGAGACTAAAATTGCAGATGTGTGTTGTTGATATATACATATCGATTTTAGGTGATGTCAAACACTGATATAGTGGTTCATAATCAATTATATGTATTAAAAAGTCCAGTAATAATTTTCGAACAACAATTAAAAGATACTAAATTATATCGACCCCTCTAAATCTTATCCAAATCTTATTTTCATCATTAACAATTATGAAATCTTCGAATCAAGATGCCTGATTTAGTTAATTACATTTTTTTTTTGTCGTTGAACATTACTATCTTTAATATTATTAAAAACAAAATTAGTACTATATATTGTTTGCCAATCTACATAACATTATTGCTATCGTGAATAATTTTACGATCTTTAGAATTTTAAATTACGGTTTACTTTAATCGATTATGAGTCAATGACACTGTTTAGTTGTCATCACAACGATTTTATATTTTGTATTACATATATTATGCACACACAAAATGACCGTAGACTATGCTTTCGTTGCTCTAGCAAAGGCACCTAACTACAAACGTAAAACAAAACGATTTTGTCCAGGAAAAATAAAAGCATATTTAATTGTTTGTGTGTAAGAAGAAAACAACATATATTTTGACTTTTGAAAAAAATAAGAAGAAACATATATTTTGACTTTACGGACTTCATTTTTACGTTGCTTGTACTGCGTCCATAAAAAATTAGACAACTAGACATTTTAGTTCCCAAACTACTAGACTATATAGTACATGATATGCGACTATAAATGCATGAAACACGATACAAGTACCATACCAATTACATTTTTACAAACAAATATAGTGTATATATATTAATATATATATATGAATAATATGAACCATATGCATGCTTAACATGAAAAACGGGTACAAAAGAACCGGTGATAGTGTGTTTATATGATGCATGTGATTCACCAAAATTCAAAGTTTATGCAAGACTTTTTAATTTGTGTTTTACTACTATCATATGACAAACCAATAAGAATTTCTTTCTTTCTTTTTTGTTAAAGGTTCCATTATAACGTATATCTAACTAGTGTTCCAAAATAGATTTGAATTCGTGTCAAATAGACTGACGCATGCTGAAAGAGCATTGCATTATATAAGTTTTAACTTGCTCTATCATTCACCTCAGGCTACCAATTTATATATGTACACACACGTATGATTCCCACTAAGGCACTGTCAAAAGGAAAATAAAAAATAAAGAGGAAAAACTAAGCTTTAATTTGCTTAAAAGTATTGCACAAATGAGACGAAATCCATTACCAGCTAGGACCGGACATTTTGTTACTGAATCATCGCTCCACATTGATAAATGGATTTTTTATTCGTATGATTGCATTAACGAGTCAAACTTTATGGCTTTAAACTCATTGCTGATTCATCTTTGAAAATTAAGAAATTCCCCAAAAGACGCACCTTTAGGCCTTGCTTTCACATTTTGTTTTGATTGTCTGTTTCAAATGTCGAGTTAATTGGCTTCAAGTTTAGGTTATTTTAATTAAAAAGAATATGAAAGTCGATATTCTAGATTGTTCTTTTCAGAATTATATTTGAATTCGTAATTTGGATATTTATATAGTATCAATGTGTCATCATACTTAACTATTATAACTATATATCAAAATTTATAGTAAACATGTTTCTATAAAAAAATTAAAAACTATAAAGAACGCAAATCGTAGTGGTGGATTATATCATTATACAAATAGTTACGGTATAAAGATACACTGTAAATGATTTTCGGAATAAGGCTAAAAAAATAATACAAACTCAAATAATATTGAAGAAATGAAAAGAATTATAGAATCTCACGGTACCAGTCTCCCCAAACCGATACTCTCTAGAGGCCGTCAAAACTAAGACACGTGTGAATATTAGCCTCACGTGTCACGTAGTCAACGGTAATCAGCTAAATAAAACAGCACTACTAAACAAACAAAACAGAACAGCTAATATCTAATTAGGTCCATGTGCGGTCCTCATGCAACATTAATTAATTGATATTTAAGAATTAAAGCCTGATTAGTGACTGTAAGGAACAGAGGAGCGTGGCACACACGTGTGCGATACCTAGCGTGTGGGTTTAATTTTTCTTTTTCTATTTTAATTTATCTCACTTTTTTAAAAAAACATTTATCTCACTCTTCCTCTCAAAATGCTTCTATTTATAGAATCATATGATATGTACTTTTTCCTTATCATAAAGTCTATATATGGTGGCATAAAAAGAAAAGTGTCTATAAATGTTTTCCGTTTATATATTTATTTACATTTGTGTCAGCGTCCGCATGTGTGCATATATGATTCAACTTGAAGTCTTGAAGATCAAATCTAGATCGGAAATACAAAGATTAAATAGCTGTTTTTTTGTTACAGTATCATCGTACAAAACTCGAATCATATTTCATACCAAAAAAAAAAAAAAAAACTTGAATCAATTCTTTAGAAAACTTAGAACGTTCCTAACGGGTCGGTCAAAACTATTGTGCAATTAGTTAGGTAATGAATTAAGATTTTGATAACCAAAATAAATTCCTCCCACGTGCGTAAAATTTACGGCTGGCTTACCACAAACCCGACTAATAAGGTTTTTTTTTTTTTATAAAACCAATAATTTAAAAACGCGTAGAAAATACAAACCTTGGTAAAACTTATTTTAGTTCCTATTATAATTACGAATTAGTATGAAACGAAATGATATTTTTGCTGGTTTGGCTTGGGTTGGATTCGTGTGGACGATGAGCTGGGTGTACAATAGGAAGTAGCTGGCTAGTTACGTGTATTAACAATTCTTGATATTTTCTTCTTTCACCTTTTACTTTTACGTAACCCCCATGCATCACGTGCTTTATGACTCGATTTGTTCATCTTTCTTTTCAATATGGTCAATCACTTTTTTCATGTCATTATGTTATAGACTGAGATCATGAATAGTTCATTACTTATGAATATACTTCACTTTTGTAAATAAAAGTACTGACTAATTTGGTGTGTTAAGTATAATGTGTGATTGTGTTTATATGATGTGATTCAGCAAAATTCAAATTTACTGTGTAAAATGTTAAGAGTTTCCAATTCAATGTCAATTTATAACAAGTAGATTTGATAATATCTCTTATATATTATTTTAGG